TCTAGGCCTGAAACTTCTGTTTTGGTAAACACGCTTACGATTTGTTTCTTTCGTTTTGATTCTCTTGATTATTTTTTAAATTCATTGCTCAAGTAATATCAAAGCTCATGAAACTTCCGCTATCAGTATTGCTCCTTCAACAAATATTTGATTAGAACTGATTTTACACCATCTGAAATTCCTGTCATTGCAAGACTTCAATCTCATTGCTATTTTTAGTTCCCTTTTTGATGCATCAATATTCTAGGAAACTTTGCGTTGTTCCATGGGTATAAAAGGAGAAGTGAAAAAAATCCGCACTCTTTTCATCTTCGAGAGAACCCGTATTCACATTGACAGCGTCGAAGATTTGGGAGATTTTATGGAACTTGAGGTAAGAAGTTGTTGTCGCTATCTTCGCATAAGGTCCAATGTCATTTTAAGGTATGTTTACGCGATGATGAGTCTGCTGCTGATGGTGAACGTGTAGCAAATGATATCAGACAAAAGCTAGGTATTGAGAATGAAGATCTACTTGAAGGAGCTTATATGGACATGCTCAACAAAAGCTAATATCCAAAGCCAGTTAGGATTTGTGTGAACACAGTTGAATTATGGGAATATTTTAAGCATATTCTGAGCCACATTGCTTGCTGACCAATTCTTGTTTTTCCTCCCCCATCCCTATTGTCGCTCCCGATCACAGCCTTAATTGTTACTGTAATAAAAGGAGTGGTATAAACTAATCAATTGCCTAAAACTACCGATCACCTTTTGTTAGAAACTAGCCGACCTCTTCTGACTCTCACAAATCGTTTGATTCTTCTGTTTGCTCGTCGTTTAATAATCCTATGGATGTTTAAGCATGACTGCTCATCTACTTTCAATCTATTCACTTTTGTTAGGAGTAATGTTTAAAGAAAAAATTATGTGCACATTCTCTGATTAACGTTGTATTTCACTGAATAAAAAGAATTATTTGGTTTTCTGTGTTCGGGCATTAGACAAGAAAATGCTTTTGTTACATAGGGATGGAGCACATTTTATTGCTCATGTACTTAAAACGTTGTAAACTACTGTAGACAATTGTAGGCAACTGTTCAAACAAAAATAACGAAAATTTGTCTTCGTAACAATCTTCTTTCAGTATAAATTTCTGAAATGGAACTGAATTATTTCACATGGGATTTGAAAACTTCTGTTCACAAGTTAGACCACTATATACTCAAAAAATCATTTTTGGCTATTTTTGATCAATAGTGATTCAAGAAAGCTTTTGGAGTGGCTAGCAACTCCCTTAAACCAAAATTGCGAATCCGAACTGAGACTGATCTACTTGTCTACTTTTTCGGAAAAGGTTTCGGGCTTTTATCAGAGTACATATTGTCACGGTAAAAAAGAAATTCACTCACACGTTCTTCAAAATCTTTTAGGTTGGCTTATCTCCCTGGGCAATTGTAGTATGGATTGGTTTCATATTTAGGGACTAACTCAAAGTACACGTCTCCGTCGTAGTAGTGAACATTATGAGGACTCTCATTTGCACGCTGGAAAGGAGTAAAACTTATTTTTGATCTTCATCACTTCTTATCTAAGCATTAGGACGGTGTCTAATCGCTATTTATAATCTTCTGATTTTCAATCGAAACACTAACACAGTGAGATAGACAGTCAGTTGTATTTGCTTTTTCATTCTGATGACGTTATGAATTGATGGTCATATATTATTTTGTGATATAAGATCATTTGAAGAGTTCAGTTCCAATTACCTTCGAACTTACGGTTCGCGCATCCAATTTGTCACTGGATATTTGAGGTTGTGGAGTAGCTGTTAAAGGAAGAGGTGGAGCTTCTACATCCGTATTGTACTAAATAAATCTTCAGTTAGCAAGTTTATGCCTCTCCCGCCTTTTCTCGTCGATTTCTAGATCGGGTTTAGAATTTGAAGATAGAAAAGATAAAGAAATGAACACTTTCTATCTATTAAAGTTTCGTTTATAAAA